GTGACTTAGCAGCTTGAAGACGTTGTTCTACTGAGGTCTTAATCTGCTCCTCGGTGAAGGGCTTGCGGTCTTGTCGGGCGCCAAGAAAGCTAGGATCAACTCCCCGAGCTTTTGCAACCTCCCGAAATCTAGCTTTAGCTGACTCCTGTGCCACGAATGCTTCATGAAGTTCCTGAGCAGTTTCCTCTGGAACAAAGAGGTCCCCACCGCCCTCAGCCGACTGCTCGAGGTCCTCGTCGTCCTCTTCGATGCCTGTCAGGAATGCGCCTCGGACACCATTGGCCTTGGAGTCCTTGGGATCAAAGCTCCGGCGGGGCTGCCAAGCCGGACGCAAAGACTTCTCATGAAGCACGGCTGCCTGCTGAAGTCGCCCTGTATGATACTCGTTGCTAACCGATGCCAGGAGAGAAAGCTCTTCTGAATTCGTTAGCCCCAATGCGCTCATGTAAGCCCAAGCCTTGGCCACCTCCGGAAGCTTGCAATCTATCTCAAGGAGTCTCGAGTACGCCCGATCAAACGTGGAGTTAAACTCTCTCACCGACTGGCCTGGACGTCTCTTGAGACGTCTGAAGAAAGTCGTCAAAGCATCGGCTATCTTCCCAACCTCGACCTCCAAGTAGCGCTCCTGAATCCATGCCCTGAAGACTTCCAAGCCTTCAGGCCCCGACAAAGCCTCGACCTGCAATTCTTCACTCTCGACCCAAGCGCGGCCCTTCAAGTTTTAGTACAACAGCAAGGCCTGTTGGTGTTTGGGGGTACGTGTAACCCTGCACCATGCCGCCACTTGGCGGAGATAAGAGCGAGCTCCCGTTCCGAGCTCCTCTCCTGTCCCCTCGGCGTCATACGAGGGAACGGCCATCTTTTCCCCGAACGACCCCTTGGAATCCGAAGGCACATCATCACGAGCACCCTCATAATCCCTGGTAGTAGCCCTTGTTGATCCCGTAGTCCCGGATCCAGCCTCGCCTGTAGTTCCGGACGAAGTCTGCCTAGCATACCTGAAGTCACCTTGCCCGTGATCCCGATCATTCTCTGAAGCATGCTCAGAACTGCGCTGTTGGCCATCTGATCCTGCCTCGTTGCTCCCTTCAGAGCCCTGTGGTTCAGGCTCACCAAAATGGTCTGAGCCTCTCTGATCTCTAAAACCCCATGACTTGTAAAAGCGCTCATGCGGATGCCAACCTCCAGCCGACCATGAACCCCACGATGGACTCCATGTAGACTGCTGTCCCCATGAACTTCCCCATGAGCTGTCACCCCAATGCTGGACAGAATTGTCCCATGACCATGAATCCGAAGCGATCCCCATGATTCCACTCATGTCGCTCCGCAGACGGGTTCCACGATTCGGCCTCTCGCTGAGCGCCATCGCCCGTCTGACTGTCTGCAGAAGTCGCAGACTGAGGATCATTAGCACCGCTGTCCATTGCTCAGCACAAAAGA